CAGCTGCAGAGGTGGCTGGGAGCCCTGGGGCTCAGGGGTGAATTAAAAGGCCTGGTGCTCCTGCCACTGCGGGGAGCTCCAGGCTCTTTAAATTGATGCTGGAGCCCTGCTGCCGCTGGGGTAGCAGCAGCAGGGCTCCGGCGGTGATTTAAAGGGCCCAGGGCTCCCTGCAGTTGCAGGAGCCCCGGGCCCTTTAAATCCCCATCAGCTTACTTTCACCTCTGCTTAAGAGTTTTCACCTTGAGGTCCCAAAGCTATTTACAAAGAAAGCCCTTCCTCATTATTCCCATTTTACTCATGGGGAATCTGAGGCACATAGGCTTGCCCAGAGCAGTGGCCCAGCTGAGAGTCCCACTCCAGCTCTAGTCCTTGAGACTGTGCCACCAATTGCCTGAATCAACTCTAGCTGAAGGCACGCTGAGGGGGGGTGGTGGCCGGGCCAATAGCACCATTAATCCTCTGCTACTGCTGTGCCACAGAAGCGACATGGGGCTGGAAGGAAGGATACCACCCCGATCTGAACCCGTCAGGCTGAGGCACTTGCTGTAGCTCGAGGCCCCCAGTCAGAGCAGCTACGTGACAGACGCGCGGGGCAGGGCGGCCTCGCCCCCTCCCCTCTGCCTTGCCCGTCTGTCTCCGCGCGTCCGCCCCTATTGCTCTTGCTCACTCCCCGCTGCGGGGCGCGCTGGCCCGGGGACAGCGGGGCGGGCGGAGCTCGGGGCGGCCCGCGGGCTCTTGCCGTTCGTTGGCTCAGCGGCGCGCGGAAGGGGCCTGCCGCGGGGGCCGGTCCCTGCAGCTCACCGCGCCGCCTCCAGCCCGGCCCCGGCCGCTCGCTGCCCAGTGAGCGCGACCAGGCTGCAGCCGCCGCGCGGCGGTGACGTGAGGAGCGGCGAGGCCCCAGCGCGCTGCGGGCCTGCTCAGTGCGCGCTGGGCCGGCGCGATGGTGCCGGGGCCTGACGGCAGCGGCTCCGCGGGCTGCTTCCCCTCCCCGCCTCCTGCTTCTAGCTAATGGGCGCCTGAGAGCCGGGACCCGCCCTGCGTGCGCAGGGCCGAGCCGGTAAGCGGGGAGCCGTCCCGGGGTCGGTATCGGCCTCGGCCTAGCAAGGGGGGTCGGTCTGTCTGTCTGTCCGTCCAGCGGGGCTGTCGGGGCAGAGCCCGGGGAGGCCCCTGTCGGCGGCAGCGGGGGCTCAGGCTGTGTCTGTAACCCAGGCAGCCGGCTAGAGGCCGGGCATGGCGCGGGCAGGTACAGACCCCTGTTAGCGAGCAGGTGTCTGGCTCGCCCCTCTCCGGCGAGCGAGAGGCTGTTTCCCGTCTTCGCTCCTCCGCGCCTGTGCGAGGAGGGCGGGCGAAGGGAATCCCCCTAGAGCCGGCAGAGTCCCGTTCCGCAGGCCCGGCCCAGATCCCTCCTGGCTGGGAGTCCCAGCCCTTAGCCTTGATCAGGTTCAATGAAACAGCATTAGGCATTTATGGGGAGGGGAATTTATTGCTAAGAGAAGGGTGCCAGATTTTTGGCTGGTGAAAGAGAGGTTTCTACTAAGATTTTTCCTCTAAAAATGGGATTATGGTATGGATGGCTATCGGCTTTTTATTTCCATAGTTTTAGGTTTTGAAAGCAATTTTAAAATAAATGTGTCTCAAAATTACTTAATTCTAATTCTTTGTATTTATACTAGCTATGAATGTATTTTTGTTCAGGTACCAACATTTCCTTAGAAAAAAATAGTCTGATAAATTTTCTAAGTAAAATTTTCTTCATTATCAGCTGAAACTCATTGATTCACACTAATGAGACCCATTGCAGATGAACAAATTTTGTGAGTTAATGAGTAGGACCCTACCAAATTCATGGTCCATTTTGGTCAATTTCACAGTCACAGGATTTTCAAAATCATAAATTTCATGATTTCAGCTATTTAAACCTGTAATTTAATGGTGGTGTAATTGTAGGGATCCTGACCAAAAAAGGACTTGTGAGATGGTTACAAGCTTATTGTAGGGGGGGTTGCAGTACTGCTACCCTTACTTCTGTGCTGCTGCTGGCAGCAATACTTCCTTCAGAGCTACACAGTTGGAGAGTGGCAGATACTGGCCAGGAGCCCAGCTCTGAAGGCAGCGCTGCCGCCTGCAGCAGCGCAGAAGTAAGGTTGGCATGATATGGTATTGCTACCCTTACTTCTGCCTGCAGAGCTGGGCCCTCAGTCAGTAGCCACCACTCTCCGGCCGCCCAGTTCCGGAAGCAGCAGTGCAGAAGGAAAGGTGACGTAGTATGGTATTAACATCCTTACTTCCGCCCTCTGCTGGCGGGGCCCTGCCTTCATAGCTGGGCTACTGGCCGGCCAATAACTGCCACTCTCCGGCTGCCCAGTTCTGAAGACAGTGCAGAAGTATGGGAAGCAATACTGCAACCCCCCCTAAAATAACCTTGTGACCCCCCCCACAACTCCCTTTTGGGTCAGGACCCCCAATTTGAGAAACGCTAATCTCCCCCATGAAATCTGTATAGTATAGGGGGAAGCACACAAAAGACCAGTTTTCACAGTCCATGATGCGTTTTTCATGGCCGTGAATTTGGTAGGGCCCTATTAATGAGTGAACACACATGGTTGAATTGCTTGTTTTGATGTGTCATTTTTAATTTTAATATATTATACTTCTACGTATACAGTAGTGTAGTTTCTTAAAATAATGAGATTTTGTTAATACAAAACCTAACTACATTTTATCAAATCTTTACTTAAAAATGAGATCATTCTGTTTGTCATTGCTTTGGTGTTAGCAGCATGGCAGTATTGATCAATTTCATTCTGAAGTATGCAACTCTTCAGGAGTATTTATCTTAGTTTTTTGTTTTTTGTTTTTTTTAACTACACTACATGCGGTAGAATTAACCCTAGAGAGAACCTAGTTGTGTATGTAATGTGTTTCCATTTAATTAAATGGACAAAGTCAACTTAAGACAATCTTTTAACTATTGCTAGTAACATTTAAATTTTATTTTTTTTTAAATGTAAATAAAAATAAAATATATGCATTTATAAAATATCTAGGCTCAAGGTACCTATGCTATAAATTAAAAATACACAAAATAATACAAAGGAAATAGCCACGAGCATAAATGACAATTTTAAAAATCCAGATTACTTGTGACTTTTTATATTCTTCTTTTAGTTCTTATATTTCTTTCAGTTCAGAGAAAGGAAGTCAGTTAATTATCTTGTACTTTGCTTACAGGCCTCAATCATGTTTTGCGTGGGCAGAGTCCAAAATCTTCACAGAGTTCTATTGACGGGTATGGCTGTGTAGAACATGTTTCAGGGCGGCAGCCATACTGTGTATCACCATAGTGCTATTATGTTTGGGTTTCAAACAAGGCAGGAGAATGCCTCTGTTCTTAAAAATATTTTTCCAAAATTTGAAGAAATTCTGTAAATTTTTATGGATTGGGGGTTTTATAAAAGCTCGTCTTTACACAACTTAAGTTTTGGACAAATTTAAGGTGACAGTCTTCCTTTAAACTGTGACAACACTTTTAAAACACTAAGGAGGCAGTCAGTCCCATTGACTTGAATGGGACTGCTCGCATGAGTAAAGTTATGTGTGTATAAGTATTTGCAGGAATGTTCCTAAAGTTGTAATGAGGTACAAAATTGAATATGGTCTTAGGCCACTGTAGTTTATCAACCCTTTAATTCTTGTCTGGTTTAAAGAAGAACAAGAAGTAAGGTAGCACTAGTGGGTGCAAACTGGAGACTTTTGCTACTCCACAGATTCTGCACTTGTCTTGGCACGGCTCTGCTTCTTAATGACTATCTGAATAAATCATTTTGCAGAGAAGTAATTAAATAAAGAATATGGGCGTGAGGGCTGGTTATTAAGTATCTGAGAGCTGATTTTTTTTTTTCTTTATATAATTTGATCTGCTCTGGTCAGATACTGTAATGTAATGCAAAAAAAGTGTTTAAAAATACTTCTTCCTTTTGTTTTGCTGGCAAGTAAAAACATTTTTCACTCACTTCACATCTTAACTTTATATAAAAATAAATTCCAAAATATAGCCTATAAATATGCATAAACAGTCTCCTATACATTAATTTCTCTAAGACTGTTTAGTGTCGTCAGAATCAATATACAACAAACTATTTAAATGGTTGGGAGGATATTTTAAATTGTATATCAAGAATGGGGGCTCCATTGCTGAATTTTTCAAAAATGTTGTCCCCCCAAAATAATACTTTTACTCTTCTGGAATACTGCCAAAATATACACTAGTGGTTTCCAGGCATGATTGATATTTTTCAGAAAAACATGTATTGGAAACATTAAGTTGCAGAAAATGTATTTTATGACATTTTTCTTTTAAGGCACTTACTGATGCCAAACATAGAGTTCTTAATATTCCACTTAAATATTTGACTGTAACTTAATACTAAAATAGCTTAAAAATTACAAAAAATCATTCTGAAATGATATAGTGCTCCGGCAAGTAAAATTCATAATGATTGTTAAAACAGAACACTTAAATTGCATGGTAAAGAGGCAACTAATATTAAGTGTGAAAGAGGTGAAGTGTGTGTTCTTTTGTGAAGGCCTGCAGTTGTTCCATATGACTATGAACTTTTTTTTTTTTAAGACCTAAGTTTTGGAGGCCACACTTTATCCTGGCACTCTCATTGTCTGTCTTGCCAGTGTTGAGGCGCTCTCTGGTAGCAGATGGGGGCCATCCAGAAAGAAGCACTATAGCCAATATTTTAATACAATGAACAGTTGCAGTGTTACAGTTTATTTGTGTAAATCCTATAAGTTTGATTATTAGAGGGCATTTAGCTCAACTCCTCTTGCCTTCTGTGTTGAGATTAATAACAGATCATATTATAATAGTAGCACTATAAATCAAGTCACTGTCTTTTCACAGCTGTAAGTCACAGGGGGTACTATAATGTGGCTTGTACCACCCTGATATTTAAGGTGGAGATATGATAGTAAAAATAGTTCCCAGTTTAGTACTCTACCTTGATCCAAGTGAAGGCTGCTTTAATCAGAATAAGCATCATATGTTGGGACCTATAATCTCGACATCATACTTTTCCGTATTACAGATGAGAGCAGCTGCAGTCAGTGCTATGATATGCAAATTTGGTGCAGCTGTCAAACTTCTGCAGAATGATCAGTGTGGCCCTCAGTTGGGGAACTCCTGCTGTAGTTTGTGCATAAAGGCTCCATAATCACTTGATTTAAAATATAGTAATATGTTGCAATTTGGAGTAATTTCAGCATAGTTTAGTGTGTGTGTATATATATATATGTATATATGTGTGTGTGTGTATGTATATATGTGTGTGTGTGTATATATATATATATATATGAATTTTAATAATTAAAGTGCTTGTTTCGTGATCTGAAGCAATAAATAAGTATTAAAGCTATAATGGTGGAGGCATAGAATACAGTCTAGGGATTAATGACTGCTGTGGTGAGTTGGAGTTAATGTTCCAGCTAATCAGTAACAGTTAGGAAATCCCCAACTCAGAGGTCCTCATTGCAGTTATAAGCTTAATAGAATGCTTTTTTTTTTCTAATTCATCTGAAGTTGTGCACTGCAAATGCATTTTTGTTTTCAGTTTCACTTCTTTCCTAGCAGTTAATGACCAATACAGTCTTGAAGTTTGTGATACTTCAAGTAGCTGTCTAATTAGTTTGGCAGGAACCCATTAAAAAAACAAAAATATAAAACATACTTTGTTTTCTATCACTCTACATACTTTAAGTGGTGTAAATTGCTGGTTCTGGAAGCTGGGAAATAGTGCCACCCCGTATGACTAATAACTTATAGTGTGCATTCACAGAAGAAATATTATTTTATTAGCTTTTTCTAATATATCTTTTATGTTCATTTGTCTGAATTCTAACATTAATTTCTCCTCATAGTCCTTTTATTGGAAAAAAATGGCAGGCTGTTGTGTACAGTTGTTCGTTCTTACAAAAATTTTAGCTCCTGGTGTAGAATCTGATGTTTAGTGATATATATTTTTTTTTTTTTAGAACTCTATTTTCCCATCTAGTTGACCAAGATACAAGGAGTTGAAGTTGCTTGTACAAGATCATAGTAAATGGCTCACATAGACCCCTAGTCCTTCCAAGAGTTGCACACGTGCCTAACTTTATACACATGCGTAAACCCAATGATGTCAATGGGACTCCTCCAATTGTAAGCTCTTTGGGGCACGCAGTGTCTTTGTGTGCTGTACAAACACAGCAAATCGCAGTGGGGTCATGGTCCATAACTAGACACCCAGGCATTAGTAATGCAAATAATAACAATAATAGTTGTGTGAAAGTTTTTGCAGGATCAGGTCAGGATTTGACCTCAAGAACCATTCTGCATTCTGCTTCTCTAATCGATTGTGTACAAAGAGTAATTATAGCCCTTCTGTAGATCAAATGTATTGCAGACAACAGAACAATCATTTTAAATGCCACTTTACTGTAATGTAAAAAATGTGACACAGAACCACTCTTGCTGGGGCGTTGCTTGATGCCACGCATTTGCTGTACAGAGTTCTACATTTGCTTGGAAGTGAGTTGCTCATCCTTACAAATTGGAATGAGACTATAACACATTTAAAATTTTCCTTAGTTTGAAGTGAAGTCAAATCTAAGGTTAACTTCTTAAAAAAACTAGGGGGTTCCATACATTGTTGTTCTGTACACTAAGCTTATTGCATGCAATAGAGGCTCCTTGCATTCCTCCATACCCCATCACAAGCTCTCTGCATGCCACCTTTCCATCCTCTCTGTTTCAGGTATTCCCTGCAATCCCTTCCTCATGCTAGTCACTCTGTGTCCCCTATTCCCCCTCCATTGTGTGTGTTTGAGTTTTTTAATACCTAGAACTCACATTTGGGAGAAAAATCTTTTTTAAAGATTTGACTGTGAATTAAGAGCTGTTAAGATTGACTTGCACATTTGGGTCATCCAAGAAATTCTCAAGCATGTAGCAAAACCAGAAAACCATATTTCTAAGAAATAGGGTGTGTGTGGGTGGGAGATTCAAGTCTGGAGGAAGGGAGTACGGAAATCTTTCAGGGTGCCTTTACAGATCCCCAAAAGCAGAACAATACTCAAACAATATTTTACACTGAAATTCTACACTTGCATGTATGTACAAGGACTTCTAACAGTGCTTCTCAAAGTGGGGCCACCGCTTGTTCAAGGAAAGCCCCTGGCGGTCCGGGCCAGTTTGTTTACCTGCCACGTCTGCAGGTTCGGCCGATCGCGGCTCCCAATGGCCGCTCCAGGCCAGTGGGGGCTGCGGGAAGCGGCGCGGGCTGAGGAATGTGCTGGCCGCCCTTCCCGCAGCCCACGTTGGCCTGGAGCGGCGAACCACAGCCAGTGGAAGCCGCGATTGGCCGAACCTGCGGACGCGGCAGATAAACAAACCGGCCTGGACTGCCAGGGGCTTTCCCTGAACAAGCGGCGGACCGGCTTTGAGAAGTACTTCTCTAGAACATATTGAGGTTTACAATCAACGGGAGGTTATCTAAATCCTATGCACTAATTTTAATGGGAATTACTGTATGTGGTGATACAATTATTTGTGAATAAAAATAATCTCTCTTGCTTGGTTTTAGGAATTCTAGTTATGTTTGCATATAAATGTCATGTCCCAATGGGTTTTTTAGATTTTAAAAGCTCTTTTCATAAAGAAATTGATATTCAAGTCAATCCTGCAAAGAATTAAGCACATGTAAATCTACTAGCTGAATTTCAGCAGAAGCTTTAAGGTGTTGGTTTTGTCTTATAAAAACTCATTTTGTGGTTTACTGGCTGTTTGAGAGATTGCTTCTCTCCCTATGCATACTGTCTCAGATGCCCAAGCTAACAACCCTCTATTTAAAATATGAGGAAGCGGAAAACAGGGTTTTTCTCAGGGTGGGCTCCTTCACTTTAGAGTTTACTTTTCATTGGGCTGCTCTACACTGGGGGGGGGGGGTGAGGGGAAGGTCAATCTAAGATACGTCGACTTCAGCTACGCTATTCACGTAGCTGAAGTTGCGTATCTTAGATCGACTTACCTCCCGTCCTCACGGCGCGGGATTGATGGCTGCGTCTCCCCCGTCGACTTCGCTTCCGCCTCTTGCCCTGGTGGAGTTCCAGAGTCAACGGGGAGCGCATTCGGGGATCGATTTATCACGTCTAGACAAGACACGATAAATCGATCCCCGATAGATGGACGGCGGGTAGCAAAGATGTACCCATTGTCCCATCAGAGCCTGGATTTGGTGACTTTCAGGACATCCCACATCTGTCTGTTTCTCGGAGGGGTGCAGGGGACAAGACATTGATAGAAAAATGCACAGATAAGATCTAGTTCATTCTGGGATTGGGAGTATTTTTAGGTTTTTTTTTATGTTTGACATTTTTTTATGATTATTATTACTGTTTGTGTCCTTAACTCTTGTAATATGCAAACTTGTTAGGAGCAGTTGGGGGAAAATGTAAATAAAAGGGGATGTGTGTCTCTACACACACTACTTTTTTGTCTTTCGAATATCCTCTTCTATGTTTATATAAAATGCTTCCCCTTCTGTATTCCTTTATATACAAAGGAATAAATATTGGTTCTAATCTTGCTGCTCTTAGTCACCCAGGACTCCAGTTCAAGTAATGGGAGTTCTGCATGAATGAGGGTTCTAGAATCAGGCCCTGGGTTTGCCATTTGACTTCTTTTTCATACTCCCCTATATGTCCCTTACTTAGCTTAGAAAAACTTAATGTTACTTTCTTTCTTGACAGCATATTGCCTTCAGGAAATGGCCTCTTCTAAATCTTTGCTGAATCTTCTAACCTTCACATTTGGATCAACAATAGGATTTTTCACATGTTACATGCTATTTAGCATAGTGTTGGAAAAACAGGTTGAGATCCAACCTAATATTCTTCACAATGATCCCCATGGTGAACACTCAGAAGAAACTGGAAGTGATCAGCTGGAAGGACAAATGAACTTCAATGCTGATGCTGGGCAGCATCAAGGTATTTTTTTGTTTTGTACAATGTAAAAGGAGAGGGAACATTATGTTCCAATTTGACGTTTTTCTTTCTTCATTGCTAGGTATTTATACACAAGTTTTTCTTATTACATGTGCACACACACAATATAAAATCACGTAGGTTTCCCCTCCTAAGGCATTGAATGATTGTTTTTTCTTTACTAACTTGCATTTTCTAATAAGAGTGATTTTTTCAGAGAGCACAATACTTTCCAACAGTTGCATCCAGACTTGGAAATGGAGGTAGCTGTTTAAAGTTTGGCTCCCGGAGCTTCTTAAGTGGTAAACTACAACAGATATTTTTTCTGCTCATTTGACACAATCACAGTACTTCATAGGCAGCTAGATTGCTTTTTAGTTTTACTTAAGCTAATTTAGCAGCATCTATAATTTGTGATTAAGCTTTTCAAATAAAAGTGAAACTTTAAAAGTAGCCCACTATTCTTTAAACCTGATCAGTCAAGCGGTCTACATTTTGGGAGGGGAAAAATGCTATAGACATTGGTTGTCTGAAGCATGTAGCATTTAACATCATTATATAAATAAAGTTCTGTGTAAGTTCAGAGTGTTTCACAAACATTAACTAAACCACCTCAGCCCTGTGAGGCAGATAAATACCTATTTTTCAGGTATTAAAACTGATGCATAGAAAAGTTAAATGACTTGCTCAAGGTTGTACAGATCTGTGACAGAAAAGAAAATAGAGCTAAAGATTCCTAGCTTTTAGCCCTTTGCTCTACCTACTAGATCTTCAAGGGGAGGTTGTCGCCCGCCCCCCTCCCCCCATTTCATTTTAACACAGGCAACTTATATAATGGCGTGAGGCTGGGGTGGTCTGACTTTCATCGGGGAATTAAATGACATAATCTCATAACCAAAAAATACATACCAGCCAATTGGTGGTGAAAAGGATAATTGGCAATCCAAAGCCATATTCATTCAGAAACAAATTAATTCTACTCTACTTTAATTTTGTTGTTCTCAGGCACTCAAAACAAATAACCATATTCATTTGCAATTCCATGCACTTTTTTTCTTACAGTGGATATATTTTGTGAGAATGATTAACTGTAAAATTTAGAGCCTAAATCTTGTCTGCAACGGGACTACTTATGTAAGTAAGCTACTTACTTATGTTAGGGTTTGCAGAGCCAGGCCACTAATGAGTAACTTAAAACTAAATATATTTAAACTGCAAAACACATACAAACCTGTTTGTTCTCTGAAATGTACACACTATTATAGTAAATTATTGTAAGGAAAATTGGCCTGATCTTGTATAAAGGTAAACAAACATGTTTAGGTCCCCATCTTGCACTCTGATCTGAACCTGAATCTCTTAGACTTACATGTAGTCTTTTGAAGGCAGTGGGGACACTATGGGCATGTCTGCACTACAGAATTATGTAGCCTTAGTTACATCATCATTCAGCTGCTGCAGTAATTAAATTGATTTTGCGTGTCCACATTAAGCTCCTTGTGTCAGTGTTGCGTGTCCTCAACAGGAGTTCTTGTACCGATTGTACTGTCAGCGTGAGTCATTGTGGGATGGCCTCTGAAAGCTAGTAACAGTTGATGAAAGCAACGCTGCGTCTACCCTGACACTGCATTGACCTAATTACATTGATTTTATGCCTCTTGTGGAGGTACAGTTATTAAGTCGGCATAGAGGGGTAGTGTAGACACTTACATAGTTAGGTCAACGTAAGCTGGCTTGAGTTGAACTAATTGTAGTGTAGACCATGCCTAGGTAGGCACAGGGGTGCATCTACTTGGGTCCAGTTGCAGAATTGGTGCATGAGTTTTTAAACCTTAAACCTATTTAAACCTTAAATAGGTGTAGACTTTTATCTGATTAAGTTGTCAGTGTATCTGGAAATGAAAAGTATTTCAGATACAGCAATAACAATTTTTATCACAGTATTGCAGAACCTATTTCTTGTCTCCTTTCAGTAAATAAAGATTTAATTTGGTTTCTGGGGACAAGTTGCCTTTTCTGGCTTACTTGCTGCTTTTAACTTGAAAACCAGTTTCAGTAGTTGGTGACAGTTATTTTAAAATAAATTTTTAATTATTAACATTTTAGGTATTAAAACTAAACATTAAAAAAAAAATCTAATTTGCTCTTCACCATAAATATTTTTTTACTTAGCATGGACTGTTTAAAAAAAAAAAATAGACTGGCTTCAAATTTTTACATTTAGTCAGTTTTTTAAAAGGTTTTCATTAGCTTCGTAAGTCTACCAGAGAATTCTTTTAAATAAAATTGAGTTGAATTTTTTAAAATTCATGTAAGGTTTTGTAAAACCATGTTTGGTTTTTTTGTGAGAAGATCTTAATAGTATCCCTTTTACTTCTCTTGTAAAACTAAGTATTTGAAAATAATTTAAATTTTTTCATTCCTGAATTTAATTTTGGTCTTGCTGACTGAAGAAAATACAAAGACAAATGTTGGTCACCAAATTTCAGGTAATGTAAATTGGGCTGTACAGGGCTTGTCTTGTATTAAATATGACAGAAAAAAGTTGTCCAAAACAGAAGCCTCAGCTGATGCACATCTATACTAGACTTCTTCCCATTCGTCTCTCTGCACTTTCTTAATGGCTAACAACTTATTTTTTCTTAAGCATTGCTGAATCTTTTATATTGTACTTTTCCATTTGTGTTACTACTTAGCAAACACACTAACGTATCATGGAATTTCTTCCCCGCCCCCCCCCCCCCATTCCCCTTTAGATGAGAACAAAAATATTGCAGACGGACTGTATCAGAAGGTGAAAATACTTTGTTGGGTGATGACTGGACCTCAGAATCTAGAGAAAAAAGCCAAGCATGTTAAGGCGACTTGGGCCCAGCGTTGCAATAAAATACTATTTATGAGCTCTGAGGAAAATAAAGACTTTCCAACTGTGGGACTAGAAACCAAAGAAGGCAGGGACCAACTGTACTGGAAAACTATTAAAGCCTTCCAGTATGTACATGACCATTATATTGACGATGCTGATTGGTTTATGAAAGCAGATGATGACACATATGTTATACTGGACAACTTGAGATGGCTTCTTTCAAAATACAATCCCGAACAACCAATATACTTTGGAAGAAGGTTTAAGCCTTATGTGAAACAGGGCTACATGAGTGGAGGAGCAGGATATGTACTGAGCAAAGAAGCTCTAAGGAGATTTGTTAATGCATTTAAAACCAACAAATGTTCTCATAGCTCTTCTATTGAAGACCTAGCACTCGGAAAATGCATGGAGAATATTAATGTAGAAGCTGGAGATTCAAGGGACACAAGTGGTAAAGAAACTTTTCATCCCTTTGTGCCAGAACATCACTTAATCAGAGGATATCTACCTAGAACATTTTGGTACTGGAATTATAATTATTATCCTCCCATAGAGGTAAGGGTTTTGTTTTTTTGTTTTTTTAGAAAGGCTGTGTTCATTGTATGAAGTACATTTCTGAAGTTATCTTTTTATATATACAGTGATTATAGGCTATTTAACTGTCCATTATTAAAATGTTCTGGGAAAATAAAATGATTTTGTTGTGAGTGCCTTAGACAGATTTAAGGGTGGAATCATTATATATTCCATTTATAAATTAAAACTTGAAAGCAAGTACCGTACCTAGTGTACCATGAGAATAAGTTAATCTGAAATTACTTTTACTGTTCTAATGTTGTAAAAGATGGACTGGATGCTCCAGTAGGTCTCTTCTATCTAACTCTTGTGCTGTATGGAGAACTGGTTTATCACAGGATGTTGGCTTCTTCTTGTTTCCTGTTGCTAAATCACATTAAAAGGCAGCTAAAATACATAAATATTGTTCCCAATGTTACCTTTCCATGTCGACAATTACTGTAGTTGCAACTTATTATGCAATCATGAATGGGAGGGAATATGTGGTCCATGAGAAAATTTAAGGTGTGGTCCATGCTAGTGTGAGAATCCCTACAATGAATTTCCTTTTGTAATTTTAGAGGATACTACTTGCCTGTCAAAGTTGAGGGGAACATGAGAAGTTTGCAGTGAGTGCAAGTGGTGGAATTTGGCTTTTTAGCACCTCTTTTATTAAATTGCAATAACTGTTGTGTTTTTTTTGTTTGTTTGTTTGTTTGTTAAAATCAAATTCTACCAATTTAAAACTGAATGTGAGGTCCTTATTGTTGACCTGATTTGCAGAGAAATGGAGACCTGTATCTCTCATTCTAATCAATGAGAGCTATAGTTCTTGAAAGTAATGAGAGCTGAAGGTACTCATATCAGAAAATCTGGTTTGTGTGTAATCTCTGCAAGAGCCTCATTAACAACCTAAAGGTAAGGTACACAGGACTGAAAAGGACCTCCTGTCACTGAGTCCATGCTATCACAGGCAACCCATCATATAATCTTGTTCATAAATTTATCAAGTTCCATCTTAAAACTAGTTAGATTTGTAAATCTAACAGCAGTGGTAACTTTATCTGTAAATGGAGTGGGAATTACACTAACACTGGGTGCTTTTGAAACAGTTCCTCTTGAAGTCAGTGGTGAAACTCCCATTTCATTTGGGAGCAGAATTAGGCCAACACTGAATACTGTTGAAATCCCACCTGTCTCGTAACACCACCAAACCATTCTTGGTGTGTTCAAATGTAGCATGGTTGTGATAATCAAGTGATAAAATGTGCCATTTAGTAAATGGAAGAAATCTTCTGTCCCACTTTTAAGAGACTGTCTTGATAGTACTTTTAGAGTAATATAATAGGACAGTAAAGATGAGATGCAAAAAATGACACTGGAACTTGCATTGTCCTGTCTTATTCCAAGAAACAAATATTTAAAAAAGAGATGGTGGGTATGTTGTTCAAAGCTCAGTACAGTACTGTAGCCTCAGCTGATTTAGTCCCCATCCTTGATTAAGAAGGACCCTTTGAATTATTTAAACACAGTTGCCCCCTAAACTGGTTTTGAACATACCTAGCTGGTGTGTGTATAGGTCCAAACTGTGTGTCTAAGAATTGTGTTTAAAAAACAATATTCAGAAGACATACTTACAACTAGTTTCGATAGTGAAATATATAAAATACGTACACATAATTACATTTAAGTCAATGGAATGGTCTCGCAGTGGAAATTGTGGAAGCAAGTTGCTTGGCATGTAAAAGTTAACTTTTTTAATGTGAGTGTTTACTCCGGTTTTAGTCATTTTTAATTTTTCTATATCTGCATATTTTTAGTTAAATGTCAGGTACCTATAGTGTTGAGGGTGAGGGAAATATCTTTATAGACATTGTAATTCAGGGGTTTTCAACCTTTTTTTTTTTTTTTTTTTTTTTTTTCCATTTTTTAACCTTTAAAAAAAATTTTGAATGGAGGTGCGGACTCCTTTGGAAATCTTAGACATAGTCTGTGGAGTCAAAAAACACTGTTGTAAGTTAATATCCTTTTTTCTCTTGATAAATCTGGAAGAGAATTTCATGCATGAAACTGCAATTAAAGGAGCATCCACTGATATCTGCCAAAATAGTTCTGCGTCCTTTGCCAGTCCTGCTGAATGTCTCATCTGGGTGCAGAAACTAGATCTGTTACCTTCAGCTTTGTGATTACTCATGTATTCATTTCTAATGAGTAAGGCTACTATTTAATCACGGGTATTTTTTAGTAAAAGTCATGGACAGGTCACGGGCAATAAACAAAAAATCATGGCCCATGACCTGTCCATGACTTTTACTAAAAATACCCATGATTGAATCTTGGGGGTGAGTGGGGGGAGCCACGTGGGCCTGCAGCAGCAACTGGTCGGGGAGGCCCGCTGCTGCTGCTCGGGCCACTGCTGGGGGGGGCCCGCTGCCAGGTGCCACCAGCTGCAGCTCCTCCCGCCGCCCTCGGGACCACTGCTCAGGACTCTGGGACACCTGGCCATGGATATCCCTGGGGAATACGCTGGGCACACAGGACAAAACTCACGGTGCCACCTTCCATGAGGAAGCCAGGCCTAGCTGGCGCCAGGGCCTGGCAGAGCTAGCTCACCGGCTGGCCCCCTCCAACAGCAGCCGGTGTGGCTGCCTGAGCAACAAGCCGCACCCGGGCCCAGGGCCAGCTGCTTGGGCGGACCTGGGGTCAGCCACACTGGCCACTGCAGAAGTCACAGAAGTGCAGGAAGTCATGGAATCCATGACTTCCCCAACCTCCGTGACAAACACGGAACCCTACTAATGAGCAGAGCTGCTAAGTTGTAAAACTTGTTTTTTGTAGGTGAGAAGTGCAAGTGTTTTCAAAAGCCTTGTTTCATGTAACGTGTAATGCATTAGACTTGATTTGTGTATCATGGCCAGCAGCCATACCACATCAAGTTGTTACCTCATATCTTACTAGCTAAATGGGGATGGGTTTGGATAAACTTCCAAGGAACATGTAGATGCTGTAGAATCATAGAATATCAGGGTTGGAAGGGACCTCAGGAGGTCATCTAGTCCAACCCCCTGCTCAAAGCAGGACCGATCCCTAAATGGCCCCCTCAAGGATTGAGCTCACTACTCTGCATTTAGCAGTCCAATGCTCAAACCACTGAGCTATCCCTCTTACTCGTACTGCTTTAGCAGCATTGAGCCAGTAAACTAGCATGCTATCTGAAGGCACTTTGGAGGTGCTATTTTGGGATTATATATAAAACCTAGGTCTCGATTATCAATATTTTAACAATAAAACAGTGAAACTTCTAATAGTATTTTTTTTTAAAGAACTGGTTAGCATTTGTAATTAAAGGTGCGGCGTGATCTGTAGGAATGACCATATGATTAGCCCTGCCACTGGCTCTCACTAGATCTTGGGCAAATTTCTGTGTTTTTCTGCCTCCATTTCTCCATTTTGTAGAATTGGGGGCAATATTACCCGTATCTCCTGAGGGGGAGCAGGACTAATTAGTTGTGTGTTTATACACCATTTTAAACTATTGTATAAGGGGAGACTTCTCACAGACACAGCGGGGAGTGAGACATCTAACTCTCTCCTGTGTTATTGAAAATCTCTCCCTAAATCACTAAGTGCTAGATTTTATTAGGCTTGAACCTCTGGTTAAAAACTAGTCTTGGTAATTTTATTTTGTTTGCTTTAAATGCTCCCTCAATTACTGTTAAAGGACCCAGTCTTTCATGCACATTGGAGTTCTGCTGGTGAATGATTTGTAGGACTGGCCTAAACTTTTAGTGTTTCAGTTGCAAGTGAATGAAAGCAGCTTGAAAAGTGCTTTGGATTGAAAGGTGTCAATAAATTCTATACTTTATTTTTGTAAATATCCATATGGAGTGAATATTTTGACATGTTTAGCTCCTTCTTAGTAATAACTAAAATATTTATGTAGTTGCAGCAGTTTCTGAACGGATAGCATATATGATGTATCTTTAAGTATTTACATTCTAAATCAGGAGGGATGGAGATACACCTCTACCCCAATATAACGTGACCCGATATAACACGAATTCGGATATAACGCGGTAAAGCAGTGCGAGTGCTTGGCAGTCAGTTCCCTTGTTAAAATACCTGGTCCACGCAGGTAGGAGACCAGTGATTATCATGTTTTTAGTCTTTTAAAGTCGTCTTTATGGCAACTGTTGCCATGATCGTGGAATAAAAAGGCATGACCGCCACTTAAGTTGCTGTTAATGGAATATGGTGTAAATGTGCTAACATTCTTCAACAAATTAAAACAGATAATATTTAGGATCCAATATTAAAAGATAGTATCTGGAAAACTGTTAGCTGCTTTCCAGGCTGAGTATTACAGTTAAAAAAAAAAAAAATAGAATTGCTTTACCATATCTAATCCAATCTTGTCTCCAATGGTGGCCAATTACAGATGCTTCAGCAATGGACAATTATGGAATAACCTACCAATAGGGAAGCTTCTCCCTGACTCCTGGTAGTTGGCTTATGGTCTGAAGCATGAGGGCTTACTTCCCTTATAAGTTATAACTAATATAACAGGGTGTTTTTTATCAACTGTATAAATGCTGCCCTTTTTTTGGAAGCCTACTGAGTTCCTGGCTGAAAATTGATCATTTATTTCTTTGCCATTTTCTAATCCATAACAATGCTTTACCTCTCACTTCATGACTACTTAGTTTAGTTTATTGACTAGGCTCTTCAGAAGGACTTTGTCAAAGACTTTTTGAAAGTCCAAATAAATTTTTTGAAAGTCCACATGTTCTCCTGTATCCATTACTTCGTTGACATATTTAAAGAATTTCCTGACCAGATGTCATGCTTATTTGCCTCTGTCGTATTCAGGTACTCGTAGTAGTATTGTATAGCCTAAGGGCTCATCCTGGATCAATACCCCATACCCCTAGGTGATGTACAAGCACATATCTCTATCATTTCAACCAGTTCATCTGAAAATGAAATCTATGGGTCTCAACAATTTTAGGATCAACCCTAGCACTTTCCTAAAATGAAGAATAATAGATATGAGACTTGCTATATTCCAGTCCTCTAGCATAGTAATTTGATTTTAATCGGAGTTTGCATATTTTGAGCAGTTTAAGCACTTCATTCTTAAGTTGCTTCAAAAATCATAAATGAGTATCTTCCATTCCTGTTGACTCATTACTATTTAATTTATCAGTGTGTCCCAGAACTTACTCTTATCAGGTAGAAGATGACATTGTCCAAAATTGAGCTGTCAAAGAGAATCTCTTTTAGGCAGATCCCCCAAATCCACCTGGTAAGGACTGATCCAAAGAAAGAATGTAGTTTCTCTTCTGTGTTCTTATCCATGTTAATTATTCCCTTTTATTCTGTTATCCCAGTAGACCTACTATTTCTCTCACAGGCGTCCTACTTTTAATATACTTATTTCCTTATTTTTGTCTTGTCTTTTTTCATTAGCTGCTCTCATATTCCCTTTTACGTTTTACATGCTGCAGCTTACTTTCTGCTTGAACTGGTTTTCCATTGTTTGAAGAATACCTGTTTCTTTCAAACTCTAGATCCCTGACATTTAACCATAGTGAAAGGCAGACTGTGTTTCTACTTCCTTTCATTTGGCTTCTGTAACCATTACAGTATGCTTACATACTCAGCTCCCATGCTGAGTTTAAGGATAGTAATTTCCTCACATTAGGATCTCATTAACTAGCTTTGATTCATTTTTTTAAAATTTCTGTGTCAAGTTTTTCGTATCACTTTTTTTTGTGTGCACAGTCTTTCCAGTGAGAGTTTGACTAGTTTGAACTAAGGCTGGTCAAAGTGTAGGATGTAATTTGTAGAAACGACAATCCACTTCTTTTCTTCAGAATTTTGAAAATTTAATTGAAATTGCAAATTTGGGAGGGGGGGAATTGAGCAGCTTTAGTTTAAACAGTGTGGTGGAAAAATTAGAGATTTAAGAAATTTGAGGGGTTATCCATTGTTGCTCACTATTTGCGTCCAAGCAGAAATCTATCAGAGTACCTTGCTAGCACCAGGTCTTTAAACAAAGTCCTTTAGCTCTTTTGGCTATTTCTGGCAAGGAGGGAGACTTGCAATTGAATTAGAACATGGGAAACCAAGTTGAAGGTGTCCTGGAGAATAGGTGAGGAAAATTGAAGGTAAGGAAAAGTGGATGGGGAGAAACATGGGTGAAGATTCTGGGAAGCAGAGTCCACACAGATCAGTTACTGCACAACATGTTAGTGAGTTTTAGAAATTACACCCTGGTTTGCTCTCTTGTACACCAGACATGCTCTTCGTCATGTTGTCACAGAAATTATCTAAAGCACATCAAACATTCTTGAAAATCGTTAATTTCCATTTGGAGATGATGATCAAACAAAATAGTATACCAGGGTCTGAGTACTCTATTCCTGCAAAATTTAGGCTTTGAAATGTGTGAATTATTGATAAAGGTGAATTGTATGATAAAGTGAAGCCAAATATGTATTATTTACACTTTAGAGAGAATTATTTTTAACATTTTAAGCACATTTTTAAATGTCCTCTGAGTCTTTTGTTTGTTTCCCCCCCCATTTTTAGGGTCCTGGATGCTGCTCTGATCTGGCAATTTCATTCCACTATGTTGATTCCACAACTATGTACCAGTTGGAATACTTGATTTATCATCTCCGACCATATGGTTACCTATACAGGTACAATCCTGACTCACTCAAGAATCTAGAAAAGCAAATCAAAAGCAAAGCAATGGATGATGCAGAAAGCTCCTGAAACTGAATCAGACTTCTACTAAATAATAAGATGTGGAACAACGCACTGAAAGAAGTATCATGGAGTGAAAAGCAACTACATCTAGCTCAGACAGGACTCTGGAATTGCTAGTAGTAATTCATTTGAATTGTAAAAGTTCTGTGTTGAGGGTCTTCCTCTGTGACTGCAAACTACAGGCTTCATTGTGCAGTTCTTATTCGTGGGGATAGTGGGACTTTTCACATGTTAGGACTGCAGAACCAGGTCCTAAAGCTTTTATGTGATCTGTGAAATCTGTTGAGGTGGCTTTGTTAGAAATTCTTCATGTTTATATTATTGTATTAAAACAAATGGATGGTGGTGAGGTTCAAGCACGATTATACAGTATTTTCTAGTCATTATTTTTCTTTTTGCCCCAGTTCCCATTATTTTGGATAAGTACTAATGTTAGAAATCCTGGGCTACATAGGTTCATCACTTTGAGATGGTGATGATACCGGAGAAATTTGACATGAAGTAACTTGGCTGAAAAGAGAGAGAGAAAAAAGTCTTCAAAACCACTCCTGCCTTAAAAACAGACTTTAAAATATTTGGTGTAATTAGTAATGTTCTGCCTATTTAATGTCGAAACCTGAATTACTTCCCAAATGAAATGAACTTGTTACTCTTGGCCTCATCATAAACTTCCCCCAAGATACTACTATCTGTTCCACAAAACCACCACCCAGTTGGCTTGTGCTAATTGGCGAAAAGCCCAGGAATAGCAAGGCAATACATCTTGGAGTATGTTGAAGATGTGTGGAAACTTGCATACCTGCCCACTCTGTGCCTCTTGGTGTGTACTCCTTGCTTGAATGGGCACAAAATTCATCCAAAAGCTTTTTAATGTACACATGATAGAAATAAACCCCTTATAAGTGCAATTTCCTCCCCTTGTATTCATTCTGTAAGCCAAAAAATGTTTGTGTGATAACACTACAGTCATACAATAAATACTTGTTGTAGACAGCCAGGCATTTATGCACTAGCGTACAGTAATTTCCAGATTCACCCAGTGCTACTATTCTCTACTGTGTTCTCTACTATGATTTTTTTGAATGTTCCCTACAAATTCAATTTTATTTGGCTGCAATATGTAGTTCCACCTCTCTCTGAGGGTTTTGTCTGGTTTATAGTGTGGCTTTTTTCTCTGCCTTCAGTTTAAGATTTTCATGTGTCATTTTAAATGCTCTTTGTCTGTCTTGTGAATGTGTTGCACAGTTATTCAGGTAAGCCAACCTGAATGCAAGGACGCTTTCAAAAAGTGCATTTATTTCATCCACTATGTGGCTATGGGGAGTAGCTCTATGCCTAATTATCTACAAAGGATCCACTTGTTATCTGTGAGACACAGATTATCAATATATTAAAATGCAATCAGAGGTTACACCAACTATAGATTTTTGCTCTTGTGATCAATATAGTATATACATCATTAACCCAATTTTATGTTCTGCCTAGCTTGACACATTGGCTGTCTTTGGTCCTCAGTTTCACAAAAGCCTCTTTATCACTTCTTTGCTGGTTTTCATCTTCATCATATTGGTGAGTTTGGCCAAAACTTTACTTCCCTTAGCCAGTGTTTTGATGAGGTCATATTACTGGTTATAAATGGCTTTACTAAAATGGTTACCACTGTTCTCCTGCTAGAAAATTTTGGGAGACTCTGGAGTAGTATGTCTGACTTTGAGAGACACTAAACATTATTTGCCAACAAACATCATGACTGACTTATCTATTTTCTTCTGTTCTGTCTTGTGACATGATGCCAATAACCACAGTATCTCATGAATGTGAAGTAAACATAGCCACGTTTGCTGCTCCTCAGTGTCTGAACATGGGATGTATTTATGTTCCCTAGTACCACTGATGTTACCATACAGTGATTGTTTAGTTATTTCATATTTAAATCTAAATATTTTGAGTATTTTTCACTAGCAGGATTGCCTCACACATAGGCTGGAAGGGGTAGGAGCTTTAATGTGTGCTGTGAATTGACCTATAAAACTCTTTAAAGTTTGAACCTGTTGGATGATTGAAAAGCTGTGCTTTTTATGAGAGACTATGCTGATGCTGGCCCTGAGGAGAATATTTATAATTTGTGTTTCAGCTGAACTGTAGAAGGTGATTAAGCTTAGCAAGGTATTCCCATGTGAAAGTCACTCATTAGACTAACATTAGGTCAGATATGAGATACAATCAATAGGATTGCTAAATCAATATGCTAAAAGCACTGACAGCTATAGTGATTCATATATTGTTCAGATTCTTGGCTAAACCATTTTCTTAACAGCTGATGGTGCATTTAATCTACATTTAACAAGTTGATGGTTTTGTTTTTAAATTCTGTATACTCGGCCAATGTAAAAGACCTACTGAATTGTAAATCTATAGTTCCTCACTACCCTTCTCTTCCCTCACTCTCCTTCAGCATCACCCATTGACCTGTAACAAAAAAGGAACTTCTCAGCTTGTGGTGAAGGCAGCCAGTGTTGTAGTGAATTGGGTAGGCTGTGTCTGAGAAATGCAAATACCCTTCTCCAATAAAGTGTTAGCAAGGATACTTCAGAAAGCATGTAGTACAGGGGTGGGCAAACTACAGCCTGGGGGCCACATCCAGCCCTTCAGACATTTTAATCCGGCCCTCGAGCTCCTGCTGGGGAGCAGGGTCCGGGGCTTGCCACACTCCGCGCATGCTGTGGCTCTGCATGGCTCCCAGAAGCAGCGGCATGTCCCCTCTCCGGCTCCTATGCATACGGGCAGCCAGGAGGCTCCACATGCTGCCCCTGCCCCAAGCGCCACCCCTGCAGCTCCCATTGGCCGGGAACCGCTGCCAATAGGTGCTGCAGGGGCGGTGCCTGTGGACGGGGAAGCGTGCAGAGCCACCTGGCCGGGCCTCCACGTTGGAGCCGGAGGAGGGGACATGCCGCTACTTCTGGGAGCTGCTTGAGGTAAGCGCTGCCCGAAGACTGCACCCTGGACCCCTTCCTGCACCCCAACCCCCTGCTCTAGCCCTGATTCCCCTCCTGCCCTCTGAGCCCTTCGGTCCCAGCCCAGAGCACCCTCCTGTACCCCAAACCTCTTATCCCCACCCCAGAGCCTGCACCCCCAGCTGGAGCCCTCACTACCCCCCCGCACCCCAACCCCCTGCCCCAGTCCAGAGCCCCCTCCCATACCCTGAACTCATTTCTGGCCCCACCCCAGAGCCCTCACCCCCTCCTGCACCCCAACCCCCAATTCCATGAGCATTCATGGCCTTCCATACAATTTCCATACCCAGATGTGGCCCTCGGCCCAAAATGTTTGTCCACCCCGATTTAGTATCTGGCTAAGAAGGCTTCTGTCTCTACCATCCACCACATGTGCCCAGAAAGGAGAACAGGAGGTTTTGCCTTCCAGTATCACTGATTGAGAAGTATTGACTTGACTTTATTCTAAATTTTTCTAAAACTGTGTTGTGTTTTTCTGTCAAACTCCAGTATCATTATGGAAACAAAATGAATTGTATGTAGGGATTATTAACTTGGTTTTTACTTTGATAGCCTTTTTACCAGATAGCTTTCCAAACGTGGCTACCTAATAAACTTTTATGATTGCTTTTATCAGAGGGGCTTTCAACATTGCAGCCTCCTTGTATAGTGTTCTACACTTGTGAGCCACTGATTTCAGTGTCATGTCATCACTTTAAGAGCAAGCATATAGTAAAATGAGTACTTCTGCCGCCCAGGCAAGCTACTGCAAGGAATCCTTCCTTAATTCATTAATTGCTTTTCTTAGAATATGCCTTTGAAGTGCAGGGACACAGGATGCCTTATGCCACAGTGCTTATTACTCTTGATTTTTAATTTTAAAAAAGTCTGACAGAATTCTGTAGCCACAATGTAGTGATGGAAACAATCCAATCATGTAATTCTAATCTAAATTTCTTTAAGAAAATTACTTGGCAGTAAATTTTCTACAATCCCTGGGGTTTATACTGAGAGTCAGACATGGGTTTTGTTCTTTTAATAGGCTTCTTAATATTTTAATTGCTTTGTTTTTCAGTACATTCATTAGACATGCATTAGGGTATGTCTACACTACGGGATTAATCCGAATTTAGATAATTCGAATTTGGGAAACAGGTTGTATAAATTCGATTGTGCGCGGCCACACTAAGCACGTTAATTCGGTTTTTAACCACATTAATTCGGTGGTGTGCGGCCACACTAACCCTAATTCGAATTAACAAAATCGATTTTGGCGCTACTCCGCTCGTCGAGGTGGAGTACAGAAATCGATTTTAAGTGCCCTTTAATTCGAATTAACTGGCTCTGTAGTGTGGACGGGTGAAGGGTTAATTCGGATTAACGCAGCTAAATCCAAATTAAAGTCGTAGTGTAGACCAGGCCTTAGTTTCCAGAGGCATGACAGTATTCTCAAATTAGCCGAAGCTCTTACTTGTGGGCTGGTACTGAATGTTACGTTTTCAGAGGAGTGACTCAATTGAACTTTATTTAATCTGTTCACTCTTTGTTGTTGTTCATTCAGTATAGCAATTTGCACTGTATTTGTCTGCATGAGTGAGTACGCTCCCTTGTGATACCTTGTCTGTCCTTCTGCTGAACTTTTCTTTCCCCTTTGATTTTTTTTTTTCCTGGTCTTTCTGAGAACGCTTCTACAGCTCCATCCAGTGAAGCAGTGTTCAAATAATCTTTTCACATGTTGCTACTAACTCTGTTATGCTTTAATAAGTGAAAGAAAGTTTGTGACTGCATTTTAAGACTACTCCCAAAACAGCCAGGAGCCACCCTTTTAGTTTACGTACTCTGATAATCTGGAGAAAGAGGTGGCATCTTGATAACTTAACTACCATTGATATTAATGATTTGGGTGTGCACGCACCATGATGAGAATGGGACAAAGAGTCCTGTGGCACCTTATAGACTAACAGAAATATTGGAGCATAAGCTTTCGTGGGTGAATGCCCACTTCGTCAGACGTCTGCCCATGAAAGCTTATACTCCAATACTTCTGTTTTAGTCTATAAGATGCCACAGGACTCTTAGTTTGGATCTGTAAAAAGCAACAAACACAGCTACCCCTCTGATACTTTACATGATGAGAATAGTCACCTTAGTATAGGACTAGGAAATTAACCTTTCCAATTTTTCCTGTGGCAAGAAAAAATTTGTGTGAACCCCAGCAGATGTAGCAGCTCTTCATCTTACTGTGTGTTGTGTTTAAAATACTCTGCTAAATGAACTGCAGCTGTTTGTATGAAAAAATAGTTGAAGGAAGACATGTTGCTGCTGAGCAGTCTATTCCATTAAAATCAGTGAATCGTCTGGAATTTGAGACAAGAAAATAGTTTCAGTTGTGGTAGACAATGGTTGGTGACTTACGTGTTTTTAAGTGATCACCATAAACAAAAATTTATTTTTAAATAACTTCTTTGAAGTGCCTATGACCATTTTTTAGTAATGAATTTAAAGTGATAACTGCACAAATAAAATAATTGATCACACATAAAGCTTGTCTCTTGTGTTCCTTTACTCATTCAATACAGGTGAGCTTGATAGAGGCACAATTCTGCTTACCTAGGCATTTCCTTACATTTTTTTCAACTCAATAGATAAGGAATTGCATATTTTGAAAAACGAAAACCATCTCATTTTGCACTTGTTTCCTATCTTTTGTTTGTGCTACACACACATACATGTTATTTTCTTTACAAAATAGCAAACTACCTAGGGAACTTCTTTGTTTTGTATGTTTCAGAGTGTGAAGTTAGGCCCCAGTGTTATAACTGGATCCACACAGGGAGGCCTTTGTTCCTGCAGAGTCCCATTAATTTCAGTGTGATGTGAGTGCAAGGGTCTGTTTTTCATGATTCAGGTTATCGGATCCATATCTAATGCTTATATATAATTACCTCAACATTAGACTAGAACCGTTAGAAAGTAGCCCTTTTTTGTGAAATGTCTCACCTTTTTGTTTCCACGTGCTTTTCAACTCTTTCAATGACTATTGTATTTTCGCATAAATACCTAAAATTCATACTTTCCGCTTCAAAAGCTTTGCATTTTTTCATCTGAGAAAATGATCAGTTTAAAGTGACCACTTTTTACTTAGAGCTTCCTACATTCAGCAGACAGCCCACAGAACCCCAGTTTTTTCACGACACTGAATATCACTGTGACACTGCTGGGCAAGAACAGCTGAGCCAGCACTCTGGTCAGCTCAGTGGTTCCAGTCAAACAATGCAGAATGGAGCTGGTTAAACACTATGCCTAATTTGTGGGTGGAGCAGAGCTGGAAGGCTAATTAAGCCATTAGGCAGAGGAAGGAAGTAGGAGGGAAAGCAAGTAGCAGGGAGAGGAGAGAGATGGCTCTTCCCTGCTTGTTGCAGGAGCTGGGTGCTCCCTAGGACTGTTGGATCAAAGCTGTATATAGTATGAAGGTGGTGGGAACCCACTGTAAATAAACTCCACAAGGTGTTTGACCAGCACAAGGGTCTCTGAGCAGTTTGTGGACCAGAGCAGAGTCAGGAGCCAGAAGGCCCTGCCACAATCTACCATTTTGGAAAACTGAAATGTAAACATCTCCATTTTCAAAGGCCTCACATTTTTTTGCACACTTTGTACAATAGATGATACTT